TGGGACCAAGAACTGCTGGTGAGCCTGACTCCTACCATCAACAAAGGTCAAGTGCAAGCAGACGATTTCCAGCTTGTGCTCTTAGCCCATAAATGAGTCTTCCATATCAATGATGAATTTTCATCATTATCTCCTTGTTTTCAAACATTTACTTATTATTTTTTATGTTATGTGTGTGCCGGCATAAGTATATGTGCACCACATGCATGCAGGAACCCACAGAGGTGAGTCAAGGATGTCATAACATGTGGATAGAGCTGCCATGTGTGGCTGGGAAGAGATTCTGGGTCCTCTGCAAGAGTGGTAAGTGCTCTTGGCCACAGAACCACCTTTCCAGCTCCTGTATTTGTCTTTTGAGATTACTTCTCATGTATCCTAGGCTGGCCTTGACTCCGGGTGTTCCTACCTCTGTCTTCTAAATGCTAGAATTACAACTATGTATGACCATGCCAAGCTTTATGAAGGCATTTTTTCATGTACATACATGGACATTTCAAAAGCAATGCATAATATTTTAAAACTATATAAGTGAAGTTATTTTTTTTAATCAAAGAGCTTTCATCCATCTCACATGGCTGTGAATCTATTATAGTTTTCAACGAACTAATGATTAACTTAAAAATCTGTGTACTTGTTTATGTGTGTGTACACATTCCTGTGTGTGAGTGCTGGTGTGGATCATATGTACACGTTGATGTCAAAAGAGAACTTTATTGTCTGTCTTCACTTTACACCTCATTGAAATTGGATCTCTTGTCATTTTCTGCTAACTGGCCTGCAAGTTTCAGGGGAGCCTCCTGTCTCAACCTCCCATCTCATTACAGAGACCCTGGGATTACAGCACACCATGATGCCATGTCCCCTGTAGAGACCCTGGGATTACAGCATACCACCATTCCATGTTATCCTATAGAGACCTTGGATTACAGCATATCACTGTTCCATGTCCTCCTGTAGAGACCCTGGGATTACAGCATACCACCATTCCATGTTATCCTATAGAGACCTTGGATTACAGCATATCACTGTTCCATGTCCTCCTGTAGAGACCTTGGGATTACAGCACACCACCAGGCCATGTCCCCTATAAAGACCTTGGGATTATAACACACCATCAGCTTTATGTAGGCTTTGGAATTCAAACTCAGGCCTTCACTCTTACTCAGCAAACACTTTAAGTACTTTACCCACTGAGCTATTTCCCCAGACCACCAACAAACTAACTATTTCTCAATGTTCATATCATCAATCTCCTTCCCAAACCGGCCACAACTAATGTAAATGCTTGCAACAAAGAGCACCTTAGAAATAAGATCAAAAGTGTCTTATTTTTGTTGTGTAAGAGGTTATAGTGCATACCAAGCATAAATCTTCCCTTGAGGGGGATCAAGAGAGGAATGGCATAAAAAACAAGATTATTCTCTCCGGAGCCGTCAGGGTCCATGTCCCACCCAAAGCCAGGTAGCTAAACTGAGGATGGATCAAGTGATGGTCAGTGTCTGCACCATACAGAGTAGAGAATGATGTGAGACTCTCCAGGGTGTATGAGAAAGTGTTTCTGGGCCTTAAAAGATAAGGTCTGTGGCCCTGTTCAGCTCAGGGGTTCCAAATTCCAAGGCATGACCCACTTTATAGCATTGGCCTGTAAATGCCCACAAATCTCGGCTTTGAACCAATAATCATTTATATTTATTTATTTATTTCTGAAACAGTGATTCTCTGTGTAACCCTGGCTGTCCTGGAACTAACTCTGAATACCAGGATGGCCTAGAACTGATGGAGACCCGCCTGCCTCTGCCTCTCTAGTGCTGGAATTAAAGGTGTGTGCCGTCCCCACTTCCATCACTCCTCCAATAATCATTTGTATTCCTTGTTGTTTTATGTAGTTCAAGCAGCAACTCAGTTCATTATTTAGGGAAAAAAATTCCCACAAAATTGTCCTTAACAGACTTTATATACTCTTATAAGAAAGTTGTGTCAGGCAGACTTGGTAAAGTAAAGCCGATCAATGGGGAAAGAAGGGCTGTTTTGCTGTTCTATATTAGGTACTGTCGAGGATAGCTCCAGAATTCAGGCCAATCACGCTAGCCTAGAAATTCATCTCTCCTCATTTCTTTCTCTGGAGCTCCTGCAAGCACAGATGCAAGCATTCTTCTGTGCCTGAGGTGCTGATATTCTTATGGGCTTTGGAATCTAAGTATCTGTAATTGTGGAGTATTTTTTTTTTCTTCCTTCTGAAAAGGCACCAGAGGAAAAAGGAAGGCATAATTCTGGGGAACATGCTGTTATTCCACCTACCCATCTGGTCAACTCTCTAATTTTAAACCTCATTTTAATAACAAGACTTTGAATAGCTGTGCTTTTATGATTTAAATGGATTTTCAAACTGGGATACAACCATCTGATATAACGAAGTGAGTGGACTTCAGCCTGCAGAGGGAAAAGAACAAACACACTGAAGTTACAATGAAAGTTTTCCATTTTCCTCCAACTCTCTTAAAAGCAATCATTGCCAGGCTTGAAATCTCCAGAGCCCAGAATCAAATCCGAGCTTTGGAAACAGCCTGTAACTACAAAGAGTGAGCTGACTGGAATGGTTGTGTTAACAAGGAGTAACACTCTAGTGTGCACTAAATGTAAAAACATATACTTGGTTAAAGAACAAAGGCCATCCATCCATTTCTGTGCACACAGGTGACTGGGGCAAATTCTGGACCAAGGTTGACAGCTGCTAAAGGTTCAGGTCGAGAAGTGGCTGAGCAGTGGATGGGTGAGGAAATAAATCCTAGGAAGTATTCAAAGGTAGGAAGTAAACTTTGATCCAAAACAGAGGGTATAAACAAGGCTGTGATCTCGAGATGTTCAAACTTCCCATCTTGGAGTTATTCATTCATCACTGATTTTGTTTGCCTTTCACACCCCAAAGGCAAGGTTTGTAGAGCCTGCATGTACACAGTGTGAGGAAAGACTCAAAAAAAAAAAAAAAAAAAAAAAAAAAAAAAAAAAAAAAAAAAAAAAAAACCCACAGTGAAACATAAGCACATCTTTTTGTCAAACCTTTTCCAGAAATACATGACAGTAAAGCAGAGAGACAAAGAAGCCTCATGCAGAGTGCCTCCCACCGTCTGTCCTCCTGTTGAGTTCGTGTCCAGAACTCAAGCCCTTTCCCAGCCACCTACCATCCCGGCTGTCTTCATTAACTGGCATCCTTTGCCCTTGGCAGACAGTTGAACAGTGTCGGGTAGCCCCAACAACCCAAGCTCAAAACCTCCAGAACTTCATGCAAAATAACATAGGATATGAAGTCCTCATCCTGGCCGTGGTACTCCTTCACCACTCCAGTTCTGTCTCTTGAGCCAGGTTTCCTCTGTTTTACTCAGATTCTTTGCCAGTTTGAAGCCTGTTAGACCTGCTCGGTGGCCTTTGCATTGGCTGTGCAGAAAGTCTAGAATACTTCCCCCTTCATCATGGGTTATCCTCACTTCCTGCACTTCTTACTGCAGAGGCCTTTCCAGATGCTTCTTTGTAAATCCTTGGCACTTACGCGCTGCATGCTCCTTGCTAGGGTTTCTCTCTGCAGGCCTAACCTCCTGTAGCATGCATTCATTTCTTCTAATCTTTCTCCAGCATCTCCTCCAGTGTGAAGAAGGTAGGGGTCTGTCTCACCTCACTTCTGAACTTTCATTCCAGGTTCAGTGCCCAACACACAGTAGGCCATTTATAGAGGAAGAAGAAATTACCTAGCCTGGGTGGTTAAGTTGATCATGAGGTCATCATGAGGTCATTGACCACGCAGAAGTTATTTTGGGGAGATGGTGGGAGTCTTTGTCTATACTGATGGAAATATGTTTTGTTGTGCATTATGAATAGATTCCCATAGGAACTTAGTTAAAAAAAAATAAACATTTAAAACAAGATATGACTGAAACACTTTAAGAAAGATGGTCTAAGCACGGCCATTAATAGGTATCTATTTTGTTTCTCTCACCCATGACTTACTTTCTAAAGAGGAAAATCAGGATAAAAGAAAAAAAAAGAAGAAGAAAAAAGAAAAGAAACTATTCAGGCATAGTTTGCAAAAAGCCACTATAGCTCACTCATCTCTAATCAAGCATGTCTGTCTTTTACTGAGTGTTTTAACTTCATGTTCTATTCTTGTCAGGTTCCAAACTGGCAAGAAAGCCTCCATAGACTCCAACAACAACACAATTTCTCGCAAGAAGTATTTTTTTTTCCCCAAATGGCGAAGCTAGCTGGCCCTTTAGTTTGCAGTTTTATTACTAAATAGAGTCTATCTCATCCTGGAGGACTCTTCTGGGGGAAGCGTATCACCCCGCAGAGGGCGCCACACTCATCCTTGTGCAGTCAACGAACTTTTGGAGTCTTTAGTCCGAGTCTGGAGAAAGACCGGGTTGGATGTGTCAGGATCCTCCCCACAGGAGTGCCTTCTGGGCAGGGGGCCACTTGGAAAGGGGGCCCTTTGGAGTGGACCCCTTGCCTCAGTGTGAAACTGCAAATGGAGAGGAATAAGTCCCTGAGTCTGGGATTTCCAGATTAGAGCTTCGTCAAGTTTTCTAACGGAAGGTCCAGTGGGTCTGATACTTTTGAAGCGCCCGTGTCCCTTGCACTAGATCCCTGCGGGCGTCGAAGCCAAGCTTCCGGCTCTCGGGGCTTCTGCAGAGGCTCCCGGAGGCGAAGGCGGTAGCTCACCGCTCATTCATTCAACAAAAATTTACTGAGCGTCCGGAGGCGACCGGTGACCCTCACCAGCTCCTCCTTCTCCTCGGCGCGCGGCGGCACAGCCCGGTAGCGCTGGGGACCGCAAAGCCGACCCTGGGAGGACCAGGCGGCCAGCTCTCGGGCTGGACGAGGCGGAGTCGGCGGGGGAGGCGGGCGGCCGGGGCGCAGAGGGCGCGGCCAGCGGGAGGAGCCGGGGCGGCGCCGGGAGGACGCGCGGGGCTGCGCGGCCGCCGGCCCCAGCAGGTGACCGCGGGCGGGCTGGTGGCGCGGGCGTGCGGGGTCCCGGGCGCAAGCGAGGCGGGACGGCGAGGCGTAGACGCGGCCGGCGCGCCAAAGTCGTCCAAGTTTTGCCGGAACATGGCGGAAGAGTCCGACCGGCGCAGTAGCGCTCGGAGCACGAGTAGTTACAGCCGCTAGCGCCGCGGGGCGAGGTCGTCGCCATGGCCCGCTGGATCCCGACCAAGAGGCAGAAGTACGGGGTTGGTGAGTATTTGCCCCGCCCCACCCCGACCCGAGCGGCACCGAGTCCGCGGGCTTTGGCTCCGCCGAGCTGGCGCACACTCCGCCTCCCGGGCTCCCTGGTGCTGCAGCCCCGGGAGTCCAGCCCTCCCGGGTTGCTAAAAGTGCTGCTAGGCTTGGGGACTCTGGTTCCCCATCCGAGCTCCAACTCCAGCGCCGCGTACTGTAGGAGCGCGTCGGGTCCCCTCTGCCTTAGGTGGCCAGCAGGGTCGCACGTGGGATGGTGCGCTTTGCGCCTGCTCTTTCCCAGATCTGACTCTGAAGCCCCAAAGTGCCTCTTCTTTCCTCCCTGGGACTACAGTCCCGACCGCAGTCACACACAGAATGTGAAGCCGAAGTTGCGAGTGGAGGTTATGGAAGAGGCTGGAAGTGTGTGGCGTGGGAAGGAGGGCAGGGGCTCCTGGGGCTGTGTGTGAGTGAGGACACCCATCCGACCCTACTGGCATAGATGGAGAGGTGTGACACAGCTTCCCCGTGGGGCAAGAAAGGGCTAGGTCCCGCGCTGGCGCGTGGCATTCCCAGTCCTCTAGTGCCCTGTGGTTGTTGAGCTGTCTGTCCTCTTGGTTTGGATCCGAAACCGTGGCTATGCGGATTTGGACCTAGGTAGAAAAATTTTCCACTTTCACTTTTGATGGAAGGAAGTCAGGTGGGAAGCACTCACCTTTAACCGGACGATTGCCATGGCAATGAGACTTTGAAGGAATAAACAAGTGTGTTGTGTGAGAATTGTATCACTTTCTTTCGGATTCATTCCCTTGGCAGGTTTGAAATGCAATCCTTTACTTCACTCCCTTCAGCACGCCCCTTTTTCTCCTCCTCCCGGGCCTGCAGAAACACTGCCTGAAGTAATTAGTCTGTTGTGACATCTAGACTCCTTGCAGACATACGTCCTATGTGCCTCCATAACCATGACTCAGGTTGTCTTTAGTATATTATTAATTTGATGCAGGTTGAAAGCCTGCACATACACATTGGTAAATATGTATCTATGTATATATTCCCAAAACTTTCTTTTAGAATTTTTGCTCCTTCACATAGCTGCAGGTCACATGGCTGGGTGAGATTTCTTTAGCCCCAGATCACCTGGTCTTTACTTAACCCCCAAACTTCTGATAGGACCGTTGGCCAGATGCCTGCTCGTAAGTAGCTGATCATTGTGCAAGTGAAATACTGTAAAATCGATGAAGGGTTGGGTGTGTCAATCATATAGCATAGCCAAAGCCTTGGATTCCATTTCCTGCACAGAAAAAGAGGGAATTTATTTGAGCAGTATAGAGTACTAATTAATGAATAAAAACATGTTTAGCAATAACTAATTGCCAGTTATAAAAGGTGTTTTCTAATTTTACCTAGGTTAAAAGTTGTTCCCAACAAGTATGTTTCCGTCAGTGTGCTTGCTGTATGTTTTCAAAGGCATGGGAGTAAGAATGTTTCCAGTATTTCCTTCTGCTCTGGATTGGATTATTTATTAAAGGTCGTTGGGGCAGATCTCAGCAAAGTTGTTCCAGAGTATAATCTGGGACACTTACTTCACTAGACACAGCAGATTCAGGTAGATGTGGGTGTTGAAGCACAGAATATGCACCAAGGTCCAGGATGAGTCTTCTGCTCTCTTGTGCTTGGAAGTCTTCTTGCTGCAGAGGGGCCCGAAGGAGCCACTTTTCAGATTTCCCATAAAGGAGTCCTTTCCCTCCACTCCCCTTCTGTGAACTCTGCAAGAAGACAATCCACTCATCTCTGTGGTTCAGTATTCCATGGAGAGTCAGTCCCCTGGGGCTTTTCTCCCTTGTGCTTGATCCGACCCCATCTACAGGACCCTCCCAACACTTCATCCCTCTCTAGCCTTTCCCTTGGGTCCAAACCTGCCCACTGCTTCCTTCAGATTTGCTCCCTGATGCTCTTCACCCAGTCTCCATGTTGTGTCAACCCTTACTTTATGGCCTTAACCCTCCCCACCACCAGGTGTTAGAGAATGCTAGTCTCTTCAGATTATCGACTGGTTGATGTTGGAGGGGTTGTGGAGGGTCATTGGTTTCTCTTCTAGGATCCCAGCCCTGCCCTCCGACACCTTCTGGCCGGCCAGGTGTTTGTTTGTTTGAAGCAGAGTTCCTTTGTGTAGCCATGGCTGCCCTGGAACATCACTTTGTAGACCAGGGCAGCCTTGAACTGATGGTTTTGAACCTGCCTTCTAAGAGCTGGGATTAAAGGCATGCACCACCATGCCAAGCATGGCTAGTTGTGTTAATTCTGCTGCAATTGCACATACATAGAGGGTGAAAGGGGAAGTCCATCATCCATGCTGGGGAGAGATTTTCTGGTACCAAGAATGCTTTGGGGTCACTTACTGTCTCGTGCTCCGTAAGTAAGCCCAGCGAACTCATTGGTTCCCCCAAGTTAGACTTCGAGGGAATCATGGATCGGGTTGTCATTAGTGCCCTATAAAAAGGGAGGTCAATGTTTGTTTATGTCTCCCCAGGGGAAGAATTCTGGCAAACGAAGGTTTTTTTTGTTTGTTTGTTTGTTTTAATTTCTGCCAATCAGAAGGTTTTGCCAGGTAAACAGTAGTCCCCCCTTAAAGTTTCATTCTCTGCAGTTACAGTTATTAATAGTCAGCTGAGGCCCGAATATGAAATGAGACATGAACGAGAACCCATTCATATAACTTACATTTTGATTCATTATTATAATCTTTTATTATTAGTTATTGCTCATGTCCTAAGGTGCCTAATTTGTAGATTGAACTACCATAGGCATGTAATGCAGAGTATGTACAGAGTTTCAAGATCCCCGGGGTTTTAGAACGTGTCTGCTTTGGGCAAGAGGTCGCCTCTCTAAGTTAGTTATTCAGTGGTATGTGCCCTTAATGTTGAAGTGCCCTTATAAAACAAGCTAACATAACTTTTCTTGAGATTTAGCACCGTTTTCTCCAGTTAAACTTTGACACCTCACTTGTCCCAGTATGGCTTTTACTGGAAGAAGCCAGAGTCCCCACCATTTTGTGCAGGAGTAGGGAAGCATTCCTTAGGCTGTGTGGATGTCCTTAGGTGTACTGCTGTGGCCTTTCTGCCCAGGAATGTTGTCACTTCCGAGGGCAGCTGATGAAGGAAGCTACCCGGTAGCCATCTTGAGGCTTTTGGTGACTCACCAGCTATGGTTGTATGCTGCTGAGGAGGCTGTCACTCAGGGAAGGTGAGGACAGACTGTGATCTGCATTTGAATTGTTGTATTGGGAAAGGTAACAGGTCCATACTGTGGTCCTCACTGTCACCTCTGATTGGTCCCCTCTTGGTTGTTTTTCAGTAGGGACTGAACTTGTCTGGGAGTCCTTAGTTCTTGACTAAAATACTAGTTCTGCATCTAGTGTTAGGCGAACCTAAATGGTCATTGTGTACATCCGTGTTATCCAGAAAGGGGGCTTGAGAGACTTAATTCTTTAGAGTAAGTACTTTAACACTCAGTATCAGTACTCCAGAATGAGGTGCTTAGAACTGAGTGCCTGCAGACCTACCAGAAGTGCTAAGTACTTAGTGTTAAGTGTGTTATTCTCTGAAGCCAGTTACCATTATGTTTTCCTTCACTTTTCTTTTTCAATGTTATTTGTTTGCAGTACTGGTGACTGAACGTAGGGCCTTGTGAGTACTAGGAAAGGGTTCTACTGCTGATCTGTATTCCCAGAACAGTTCATTTTCATTATTGAGTCTTGCTAGGTTGTCCAGGCAGGCCTTGAACTTGGAATCTTCTTGCCTCAGCCTCCTGAGTAACTGAGTTTACAGGCCTATATATGCAGGCTTGTGACTCAGTCTTTTAGCTGTTTAAGTGTATGGAATTGTAAAATACTAATATTTGAATTTTAAGCACATATTAATGATAAATATGCTTGCCACTCAGTTACTCTCAGTATGTCTCTCTCTGAGTCAGGGTCTCCCTGTTGTAACCCAGGCAGGCCTGGAATTCTCCATCCTTAGCCCTGGGAGTGCTAGCATTAGCTAGTATGCATCATGACACTCAGCTCAAGTATATTTTTAAGTCAGTTTCTACATAAGCCATTTATGTCAAGAACAAAGATTATATTCTTTGTGGCTTGTTTGCAAAGCAGTTCACTGATGCATGTTGGGATTTATGGTATCTGTAGAGTGATAGGAAGTCTTTGGAGGGAAATACTGGCCTTCACAGTTAGCCCTCCAACACTTTAGCTGTGCTTGCCCCAGTTAGCCTCAAGCATCGGGCTTTGTAGAGCAGATCCTTGAGTACGAATTTGAGAACTAAGCCAGACTTGTTCTTTCTTGGTGTATTCAGCCCATGCCCTGCTCATGCCATCCTGCCTCTCCCTGGGCACGATACTCCTGGGGCTGGGGTGTGACATCAGGGAGGGGATTTAATAGTGACTAGTCCAGTTTGTTTTTTTTAAGTATATATTTTTACTATTCGTAATCATGTTTTTATATGCATGGGTGTATACACATGAGTGCAGGTGTTCATGCAAGTCACAAGGTGTTGGATCGCCCTGGAGCTGGAGTTCCAGGTGGTTGTGAGTTGTCTGATGTGGGTGCTGGGACCTGAACTCTAGTCCTCTGCAAGAACTGTGTATCCCCTCAGTCCCAGAACCCCTTTACCCAGCACCCCCCCCCACCTTTAAATCTGAGATAAGTAGCCTTGGCTGGCCTTATGATCCTTTTCACTAGGCATCCTGAATGATAGGATTACAGGTATATGCCACCAAATCCAGCTCTAATTTCCTTTTTTGAGACAAGTCTCTTGTAGCCCAGTCTAACCTTGAACTCCTGACTCTCTCCACCCCAAATGCTAGGATTCTAGGCATGTTAACATCACCTGGTACATTATGTATGCTGGGGATTGAACCCAAGGATTTGTGCATGTTAGGAAACCACTCTATCAGCTAACCCCAGTGGCTCCAGTTTCCTTTAAAGAGAGGAAGTGGGTACCTAGAGAGGGCAAGTGAATTG